TGGGTTTCTGGTTCTGGGAGGTTTGGGTTTCTGGTTCTGGGAGGTTTGTGCTTTGTCATGAGGGTGGAAACGACCAGTTCTTTCTCTTTAAAAACGTTATTCCGGCTTCTGCTCCTTTCCGTTGCTCCTTTCTGTGCTCTGCTTTTTTCCCTGGAGATGTTGGATGGACTAAACCCTGGTGGGCAGGTTACTCTGACCATCAACTGGGTTCTCCTCCATCTTTAGAAAAACCTCAAAACTAAGTTTTCCTCTGGCGATGAGAAGACTCCGGCTAACTCCGGCCCAGAACAGGGTCATTTAGGAGTGTGTATCCTCCTGTAGCCACCGTCCCCGCGGCGCCTTTAGCCTCGTTTCTCTAACCGCTCCTCATCAGGCCGGCTTTAAAACCCCGTCTTGATGAAGTTCCTCCCATTATTTAGGTCACTTAGGAGGTTCTTACCAGCATCGACTAACAGGGTGAGAGGTCACTGTCGTCCATGTGGCTCGAGTATTGTTTTCATCACCCGGTCTTATCCCCACAATCACAGCGGCTTACGTTAATCTCGACGTTTTAAGCCTTCATAAGAGGCTGTTTTCCTGCCGTTTGCTTTCATTATTTCCAGGATTTAGCCAATTAGGGGCTTTGCCGGGACGCTTTTTTATCTCCTTCTATCGGGGAAGCGACCCTCCAGAGCAGAGCCGGGTTTAATAGGGACGAGTGTGTGTGTGTGTGTGTGTGTGTGTGTGTGTGTGTGTGTGTGTGTGTGTGTGGGTGTGTGTGTGTGTGTGTGTTGTAAATTTAGGCCACTGCTGCACCCCGAGAGGAAACTGGGCTCTAGTGAAGATGTCAGATCAGCTCACAGAATCCCCCTCAGCGGAGATGGATGGATTTGGGGCGGTGCTTTGGCTGCTGGTTCTGCTGGTTCTGGGAGGTTTTAGCTTTTGGTTCTGGGAGGTTTCAGTGCTGGTTCTGGGAGGTTCTGGGAGGTTTGGGCTTTGTCATGAGGGAAGAAACAACCAGTTATGCCTCTTTAAAAACTTTATTCCGGCTTTTGTTGCTTTCTGGGAAGTTTGCTGGTTCTGGGAGATTTTGGGCTGCTGGTTCTGCTGGTTCTGTTTGTTCTGGGAGGTTTGGGCTACTGGTTCTGTGAGGATTTGGCTGCTGTTTCTGGGAGCTTCTTTCAGGTTTGGGCTGCTGGTTCTGCTGGTTCTGTTTGTTCTGTGAGGTTCTGTTTGTTCTGGCCGGTTCTGTTGGGTTTGTTAGGTTCTGTTAGGTTCTGTCCACTGACCCGCTCCCTCCTGTGTCTGCAGCTGAACGAGATGATCCGGGCCCCGGTGGAGGGGGACTTCTGGCAGGCGGACCACATCCGGCCGGTGTTCGGCGGGGGGGGGCAGTGCTCTCTGGACAACCTGCAGACGCTCTGCACCGTCTGCCACAGAGCCGTACGTGCACGCCCCTATAATCACCACGGCAACGGCCGCCCGAGCCAATGGGCTCAGCGGGACATTTAAGGACCCCTCATTTAACCCCTTTGGGAAAGGAGAGCCTCATGACTCCAGTCAGGGGGCAGGAATGTGAAACATGGTCAAACACATTGATCAAAAGTCCAGTTAAGGTTAGGGTTAGGGTCAGAGTTAGGGTCAGGGTTAGGGTCAGGGTTAGGGTCCGGGTCAGGGTTAGGGTCCGGGTTAGGGTTAGGGTCAGGGTTAGGGTCAGGGTTCGGGTCGGGCTTAGGTTTAGGGTTAGGGTTAGGACATTGTTTGTCTTAAACAAGTTTAACCAAAAAATATTTATTTCTCACAATTATGAAGGGTGGAGGGTCAGGGTTAAGTTTAGGGTCAGGGTCAGATTTAGGGTTAGTTTTAGGGTTAGGACATTGTTTATCTTCCGATTTCTTATAGACAGTAAAGTTTCGTTTCCACCTCAGAAAGCTGCTAGTCACACGACCTAATCAAAATGGCCGAATTGGATGTGGGAGGAGTTGGACATCCAGCTGAACCTCCTGTGTTTCCCCCCCAGAGGACGGCTGTTCAGGCCCGGGAGCGGAGGCAGAGCCGGAGGAGGGCGGTAACCGGGGCGACCGCAGACATCAGCAGCTTCTTCTGCCGGAAGTGAGCAGACGGTGGGTAAAAAATCTTTGACTTTCAGTAGGGTCAGAAGTAAGGTTGTCACCATAAAAACTATAATTTGACACCAAATTTGACACCTAATTCGACACCTTTGTCACCTAAAATTTGAAACTTGAGGAAAATATTCTATACTTGATACCATTTTCGAGACCACAAGGATAAAAACAAAGACCCCAAAATTTAACAGAAATATTTTTATTAATAAATAAAAAAAATCAAAAATCAAATAAATACAATAAACAATAAGAACAATATTTTGAGGTTGTATGCTGTGCACAATATTAAGCAAGCTTGATAAAAAAATAAAAAAAATTAGGCAAAATGAACCAGAAACACACAAAATAACTTAAAAGAAATAAATCTGATCTAAAACCAACTGAAAAAAGACAAAAAATATCTACAAAAAGTCACAAAACCAATCAAAAAATCATTAAGTGTTCTTTCCTTGGCTATGCTTTACACATAAAAGTGGCACTAGCCAAACCAGTTAGCAAACAAAAATAAAAGCTGTATTCTCAGCAGCTGCTGTTAAAAAAACAGTCGGAAACTGAAAGTGCAAAGATTTATTAAATCACACAGTGTTCAGAAAGTGCATTTTCCTCTATTCTGCACTCTAGATTAATGACTGTTTTAATACTTTTGAAGATATTATTGTACAACAACGTTTTAGTATCTGTACTTTTTGGAGTATCGGTACTTTTCAGAAGCTGAGATCTCGGCTCGACTTTCAGCTGAATTTCAGCCAGATTTCAGCCGCTTTTTCTAAATGCAAATCCGGCCGAGTCGCTCCCGAACCGTCATGATTGCGGCAGGTTTGATTTACGACGCCCCCTTTCCCCTCCCTCCTCCGGGCCGAAGTGGAGCAGGTTGTTTAGAGAGGAACGCGGCTATTTTAGGATTTTGCGAACTTGGTGGAAAAAGCAGATGAATTGGGGGCTTTAAGACAAAGCTGTGCGGCAGGAAACACAACCAGGTGTCCTCATTGGTGCCTTGGAGAGCTTGTAAATCTTATTCTGATAGATGGCTGACGGCTGCGTGGTGAAATAAAAACCTACTTTTCTCCTCTTTTTTTCCTCTTTTTCTCCTCTTTTTGCTTCCTTTTCTGTTTCTGTTCGGACTGTAAACGGGGCTCCGATAGCTCCGCGGTCGCCTCCGGTCCAGAACATCATCCACATCCTCTTCAGCTGTGCTTGATGATCTGAGCAGAGGTAAAGTGCGCGGGCTATGTTTAGACGGGGCCCCGGAGCGGGTTGCCATGGAAACAGGGCTGCAGGTTCAGCCGTGTGGGGGTTTTTCGGCGCGTTACACAATGAGCCAGATATCTGAATATATCCGATCGATACCCCGTTAAATGAGGCCATCGCGTTCCTCCAAAGCCCCCCCCC